AGAGAGAGAGAGAGAGAGAGAGAGAGATCACGCGTCCCTGACCACCCGCGCAGCCACGATTTGACATCTTGTGTAGAGAGTTTTTAAGCGGTCGTTAATGTGAAGTCCTTTCTTGCAATGCTGACATTCGTTATTCCCCCCATGCTGGCCTGCGTTTGTTACGACCTGTACCATTATCTCTTTGATGTACGATATGAGATGGAACAGACAGTCCGCAACCAGCCTCGCCATTTGTCGCGAATTCGCTTTTGCAACGAACTTTTGAAATGTGTCCGTCGTCATAGGCAGAGCAACAAATTCTGCATCAGCACAAGGTGCTTTGCTAGCGACGACACATGGGAAGTTGTGACGAATGTGGTGACAATTCAGTGCGGCAACATCGGTGCACGCCAGCAGGGCATGCATCGCAGGCGCGCAGTCCCCGACAGTGGTCCCAATTCCTGTGGAGGTTTGCATTGTTGTGTCGATTTCTTCACCTGCCTTGGTCCTTTCACCTTCTGCACTTCCCATGACAACTTCGTTCGCACAAGTCACCGTCATTTCTCCATCCAACAACCTACCTCGTGTGTGTTGCAGGGCATCAATGACGTCCAAGCAACTGTTCAACAGAGACGTCATATTGCGAGGAAGGTCATCCTTAGCAATCGCAACACCCTCATCACAGAGACCGTACTCATCTACGGTTTCCTTACAGTGGCGAATACAGTCTGCTGCGAAGGCCAAGAGGTCGACGACACTGCGTGACGAAGCAGTTAGCGAACCCGTATTATATTATTGGCTATCATACGATGCCCACCCCTCCTTCAGCACACACTTCTCAGGGCTGCCATAAGATGCGACATCAAGTCCTTGTGATTCCCTGTGAGTTCTCTTTGTGACGTGGGCGGCGAATCGATTCAAGACCACGGTGCGCCTGAGCCTTTCACCATCCAACCATGTCTGGAACTCGTCAAACGTGGTGGTCTTCATTTCAACTATTGCCTTCAGTCTGGCATTCATGTCCTCCCTCAGACGAGTTATGTCTAAACACTTTGGATCAGATAGTAACAACCAGAACGCGGTGAACATCCTGTGTTCTGCAGTTTCTGTCATTTCTACGAGCAGTGACTTAATACGGCCTAGTTCGTCTGACATCTGTCTCGCCAATTGTTTCTGCTCATGCACCTCGTCTGTTAGCCTGTCTATATGTTCTCGCTGCTTCTCTCCTATCTGACCCCAGTTCCGGTCCATCTCAGTCGTCTTCTCTTCTTTGACCCCCTGTAGTAGAAAGTGATCCGATGTTGCATCACACTCTTCGCCTGACTTTCTCTTCTGTCCAGTTTTGGTCAATCTTGACATCTGGAAATATATGTACATACAGAGAAATACAAAGAGAGAGAAAGAGAGGGAGAGAGAGAGAGGGAGAAAGGGGCAGAGACATGCCCTCACTACTACCATAGTTGTTGTCAACGGGCGCCTACCAAAGATTGGCTATATGTACGTGGCAACATACATTGTTATTTATTGTTGTACATCTGCGTTTCCCCTGTACATGACTCAATATAACATTCGACAACACAACTTAACAAATACAAAGCATACTAGTCTTTCCAAACGCATCCGTCAGAATGAGGGAGTGAGTCTCTCTTTCTCTCTCTCTCTCTCTCTCTCTCTCTCTCTCTCTCTCTCTCTCTCTCTCTCTCTCTCTCTCTCTCTCTCTCT